GTACCAAGTGGGTGGGAATAATATACAGCATTTGTGTCAAGCTGCCCTGCTAACAAAGTCGCTTAGTCATCGATGTAGGGTTCTTAAGGAGCTTTAAGCTAAGGAAAGTTTTCTACAGACTTAGCTTATTTTGTATCTTTTCACTTAGGAAAAGGTTTAGATGATTTCTTCCATGGGGGCTACCAGCTGAATGCTGCACATTATAACAGTCAAGGCAGAAGGCTACAGTGATAACCTCTCTCCTAAAGCAAGCGAACTGGTCTCATCTACCAGCAGGAACTGTCTCAGTCTGTGATGTGTCAGGTGCAGCCAAGTGTCAAACCTTCTGATCTTAGCCATCTCAATCAGTGTCTGTCCCAAGAGAGGAGATTGCCCCACCCCAAGAAGTTTACAAAAAACTGCCTCTTCAAGTGTTTGCCTTACTCAGCTTTTCACTTGTGCCATTAAGCAAGCACTGTAGCAAAAGCCACTTGCCATGGCCCTGGCAGGGAGCATCGCAGCTCCATGCTCCATTCTCACTGTACTTGGTATTATATTTTTTATAAATAAGATTTTTATGTAAAGCTCAGATTTTGATTTACAAGGACCTTGCTGCAGTAAATAGTCCATCAATCTTGTGCCACCAGTTCAGCTGTCAGATAGCACAGTCAGATCATTTGCATCAAAAGGGCAAATACTTTATTAAGAAAATGAAAGGGAACACTACTTCTGCCGTTAGGGAGTTATTGCAGGCACAAGTGTTTGTGCTTTTAAACAAATTAAAGTAGTAAAAAAGAAAAATCAAGCAAAACATTTGCCATCCCCATGTTTTATTAAAGTTTTATTTAATGCCACTAACCTACTTAGCTTGAAACCCTAGTTTAGCAAAAGAAGGAAAACATGAATTTCACTATGTTATTCTTTTCAGTCTTTTATCTTTTTGTGCTTAAGTAGTTGAAATTGCCTGTGTGCCCTGTATTTGGGGAGCACCTTTTCATACTACGTACATCTCAAGGCCATTGTGATAGACACCTTCTCCAAACTACTGTCAAATGCGAATGAAGCACTCAAGTGTCTTCGCTGTACTGTGTACATGGAAGAACTTTACACTGAAGGACAAAGTCCTCAGTGATGATTTATCCTAATTGATCTTTACGTTTGGAAAGCCGGTCTGTGACTTAGTCCATTCTGCATCCTTCGCTTGGAAATCCTTGTGCAGCGGCAAAAGAAAATGGAGGAAGACAAAAGTGCTTGCCCTTCCTAGCCCCCTTGTCCTCCTCCTTTGTCCTTCCTTACCATACTAGGTCATGCCCTAGGCTCACTCCATGTTGGCGTGCTGATGATGCAGTAGCAGTGCCACTGTGGCCTCCATCTAATAAGAAGACCAACTGTTGCAAAACTTCAAGTAGACAGTTCTTGAATAACTAATCTCAGATTGGCAATTTTATTTTTAAGTCAGAACACAAAATATCTAGTCCCTTTGACAAGATTGGTTATCTAGTTCTAGTTTTAATATCTTGTTCTTTTACCTCAAAAGCAATCACACCAGTTTTAGTTCTTCACGGTCCTTTATCTCATGACCATACCTAGACCGCACAGCTTCCCTCCTATGCAGTCTTCTTGTCTATCAAAGTAGAGCATATACCAAGTCTCTTCTCTCCAAGAATTTCTGCTAAAATAGCTAAGCAGACTGCATTCTTTTACTCTTAAATTGTTGTATTTATTAATTTGACAGAGCCCAATAAGCCCTTTCTCTAGTTCTGGCTATAATGTCAATAAATATATGAGAGCAACCAACTGATTTTTTTAAGTTTGATTGTTGATAGAATAATCTCATATTCGGGTTGTATTAATGCTGTCTGCACTGGATCAGTTCCTTGCTTGAAGAAAATTCAGGAGGCCTCTTCCTGAATAGAGCATATTCACAGTCATTCATCTTCTGGTCACAGACCATATGATAAAAATGATCAAAGCTACCTTCCTTTCCACTTCAGTATAGACCCAGAAATACCCAGTAGTAAGATTTTTCAAACATGGAGTTCTGGTTAATCCAGCATATTCTCCTTTTGTTGTTGTTGTTCTTAAGAAACCATAATCGAAGAGTAAATAAAACAGATACTTATTTTCTGTGTGAGGTAGCACCACCCATTCCCCACCACCATGCCCCCCATTGGAATTTGGCTGGTAGCTTCATTTCCTAAGGTGCTACAGAAGAACCCTGGAAATATGCTGGTCTTATTGTCCTTATAAGCAGTTGGTTAAAAAAAAACACTGCAGCCAGGCACTGGTGGTGCATGCCTTTAATCCCAGCACTTGGGAAGCAGAGGCAGACGGATTTCTGAGTTCGAGGCCAGCCTGGTCTACAGAGTGAGTTCCAGGACAGCCAGGGCTACACAGAGAAACCCTGTCTCCAATAACCAAAAAAAGAAAAACAAAACAAAACAAAAAAAAACAACTGCAGTGTCAGTAAACAAGGTGACCAGCAAATGGAGGAGGAGTCAGAGACTTCTGAGTCCATTCAGCAGCCGCAGGTACAGGCTGCTGTCTGTTCTGTAAGTAAATGCAATAAGTTTACCCTATAGTATTATTTAACTTTTTTTTTCCTTTTCAGTTCTAGAATATTAAGCAAAAAAGCATGTTTTTTGTCTTAGTGTTTCCTCAAATGAGAGAAGGACTGTGTCCTCAGAGCTAGTTCTGCCTCACAGCCATAGCTAGCTATGTATTGGGGTTGGGAACAAACAAAGGTATCCCTCACATTTCAAACTTCATCGTTTTAAGGGACAGTGGTGGTCTCTAGTAATATCTAAAATCTTCTAAAATGAGGGCCACTTTAGCCAGAGGTGACCTACATCTCGCTGCTTTGCCCACTGGTAACTTGTGATTTCTTCTCCTTCAAATGTATTAGAATACATTAGCTAGAATTGTTGCCCAGATTGTCCTTTATCACACAGGCCCTCTTATGTAACTACACTATTATGTAACTCCTTTATGGACTAAATAAAGTCATTAGTTTTCAGACTTTGAGATTAGCTTCAAAACAAAGGAAGAGTATGACCTAAAGTTGTCAGTAAAATAACCTCATTTAGAGCCTTATTCATATAAATGTACTTTATTGTTTTAAACAGAACAAAAGAAGAGGCAGAAAACATTTGCATATAAGTCCTAGTTTATAAATGTAGTTTTTAGTGGTGGCATCTCTAACACGTCATTCAGGGGCTGTTTCTTTTTGCCTCCTTGTACTGTAAGCACTGACACTCAAGAAAAGCACATCTGGTGGGCATGTGTCTCCAGAACTGGAAGAACTTGGAGAGCAAACATGATTTTTCTTAGTTCCTCTAAGTAATCTTTAGTAAAACAAAAGATGATCTTTGGCATAGATTCATACTTTAAAGGCATTGATATGCGTTTATATCAGGTAAGCGACTATACAGATCTGCTGAGAGCTTTGAAAAGAATCTTTTATCAGCTGCAAGGGAATAGGGGAAGCCTGAGTATTCAGGGTCAACTTAAGATTTACAAGTTCAGTGTTGGGATCGAACATACTAGATGTGGGAAGAACATCCATCAAGAAGGTCTCACTCCTGTATTCATCTGGTTCTTGATTTCTGAAAGAAGCATTTGTGTGCTGAGAAATGCTTATACAGCCAGGATAAATGCAAAAAAAGAAAGACACTTTTTCACTAGCTGTGCCCAATAGGAAACATGCCTTTCTGATAGTAGATACCATACTTATTATTCTTGAATACTTCGTATTTATGGAAGGATGACAAAGGCTTGGTTGTAGTTGGTCAAAAGCAACTGGAAACTATAATCATTCTACTGATTTTTTTTCCCTAGCAGCACCAGAAGTATAATCTGCAAATGCTATTCTCCCTTACACAACAAATACCTTTCACTGGGCAGTGGTGGCACACACCTTTAATCCCAGCACTTGGGAGGCAGAGGCAGGTGGATTTCTGAGTTCGAGGCTAGCCTGGTCTACAGAGTGAGTTCCAGGACAGCCAGGGCTACACAGAGAAACCCTGTCTCGAAAAACCAAAAAAAAAAAAAAAAAAAAAAAAAAAAAAAAAAACCTTTCAGACAAGATTGCCTTTCCATTCAAGTCTCTTAAATTCTTAGGACTTAATTTTGAATGGACCTCTCAAAGTTACAAGCAAAGTCAAGTGTGAGGAGCTAACATGCTGACACACTTGAATCCAGAAGTTCAAGACTAGCCTGGACAACATAAAGAGACCCAGTCTGAAATTTGAAAAAGGAAAAAGTAGGAGATGGAGGGATTACAGACAAACACATACCTATGTATATTTAAAGTCTCGTTTAAGAAGCATGTAGAGGAAGACTGCCAAAGCCTAGGATGATTTGGTTAAAAGTAAATGCAGCCTTTCAGCTCAAAAATTAAAAAAGAAAATAAGAGCCAAGAATGAATGCTAAGGCCTCAGCACAGACCTCTACTGGCAGTGACAAAGCATAAAAAACCTGGGAGTGGCCCCACTGGGAGGATGGGCAGGATCACACCCCAGCTACTCTGCCCCTCTAGTGGCAGAGAGCACCAGTGTGTTTACAGGATGGTTACCTTGGCAACCAAGCAAGGCAGGATGTGAGACAGGAAGTTTCCATAACACATACTAGTCAGGGGCATGGTAAAGACAGAATAGTGATTTCCTCCCAAAAGTGAAAGTTGGTTTTCCATTGTGAAGAACTAGAATTATATGGGGAGAAAGCAGGAAATGAATCCAGGCCATGCAAGCTGGAACTCCCCAGAGACCACCTTTCCCTGCAGCAATGATACACAGCCCAGGGAAGGGTAGGCAGGGTCAGCAGCAGGAGGGAAAACCCAAAATAACTTTGGAAGCATAGTTATTTACTGACTTGCCTCAGCTCTAGGTCTTGAGAGCCTAAAGGGGGAAAAGGGAGTTAGTGAACCGTAAACAGAGAAATGTCCCCCAGGGCAGAGCAAGGCTTCCTGCTAGTGTTCGCTTATTCTGAGCTTATGTAAAATCCATGGGACAGTGTGCACATAGTAACTGTGAAAGTACAGGGTTTATAGAGAGACACATTTCAAAGTGTCAATGACAAGAGTATAAATGTTTTCTATGTGAAGAGGCCCCATTCCTTCTGCTGTGTGAAACCAGGGGTTGATTTTTCCACTCCTGGCAACTCTCAATGGCTTCTGGAACTCAAGATGGATATCTTCTCTTTAGCAGAGGTTTATGTACCAGCCAGGTTTGACAAGGCGCCTACTGGTACCAGGGAGTCTTTCTGACCCAGCGCAAGGTAAATCCAGCATCTGTTCGAATTTTGATTGAAGCAGCTTCTGCCTCTCGAACAGTCTCCTTTACAGACTGCATGAGGTTCTGGGCATTATGAACCAGCATCTCTGTGGCCTGCAATAGAAGAGCCCAGTTACTATAGTCCCTAACGCAGCGCTCGCTGCCAAGGGTGGGCTACAGTTAACCCCCTGCATTGGACCCCCTGTATCACTGGTGGTTAACTGTATCAACAGGGCAATGTTTATATAATTTGACTTGTATATCAATGACTGCATTGTGTCTTTGCATGGGTGACAGCATGCACTCATACCTGGTTTTCAAAGGCAGTGTTCTTTCAAGACTCGTGCTATGTCCTCTACCTGCAACTTTTCTTCCAAGTATGCAGGCTCCCCCTCCAGTGTCTTTCAGATCTTAGGGAACCATATATTAAATAACACCACTTAAAACTCCTAGCATTATTTACTTGAAGATATTTTTCTTCATAAAATTCACCGTTAATTTTATGCTATATATTATACCTAGGTTGCTTAGGGGTGAGTTTTGTTTTCTTAGTTGGCATTTGGGTTTGGTGTTTTGGGGAGGGGTTAGTTTGGTTTCATTTATCTATATTAAGTTCCATAGGGCAGAGATTTTTGTTGGTTTTTTCATTGCTCTCCAGTATTTAGTACAGGAGGCATTTCATAAGCAGTAAATGAAAACAAGCAAACTAATCAACCTTTAAAAATATAAGTACATTATTTTTCAAAACACCAAACTAGAGGATGGGGATCTAGTTGGCTGTCTACTCACACCCAGATGGTTGTGAGCCACCGTGTGGGTGCTGGGCATTGAACTCAGGACCTATGGAAGAACAGCCAGTGCTCTTAACCTCCGAGCCATCTCTCCAACCCAACTACATCATTCTTTAGGGTAGCAAACCAGCTGTAAGTCATAGATCTTTGGAGGATTTAAGAAGGCCATAGGGTTTCCTCGGGCAGGGGAGGGGGGTGTAACATGAGTGAAATATATGCATAAAGTTCAGAGGGCTCTGGGAGAAATACCTACAGTCTAAATTCCAAACATTGGTCCTCTTCCTTCTTAGGAAGGGTCTCGGGCCTGGAAAGGCTTATATCCTTGACAGCCAAACTCACACAACAGAGTCAGGGTCCAGCTCAAGACTTCATTTGTATCCTGTGTCTGTTCGAGTCTACCACTGTTTCTACTTTTTTTAAATTTAATGGAACACATGGTTCCAACACGCATTTTGTTAAATAATCAACTTGATGTGATTTAGCATGAATCTCAGTCTTGCCCTTCATTTTCTAACTTCTCCTATCTTTAGGCACAAGACAGCCCACAAAGAAAAGGAACCCAGTATCCAACTCTGCTTGCAGTGTATGGAAGTTAGGGATTTTGATGAAGCTCCTGCCCATGGCAGTGAAGATGAGTGCTACTGGATTAAAGCAATGGTAGTGTAAGCAGCAGTGGCAGCAGCACGAAGCTTACCCTCCCTGTTTCCTCAGTGGTACCCATAGGCTCTGTAGAGGGCAGAGCAGTTGATCTACTTAGTGGGGACTGATTGTCTCTCTCATTTTAACTTTTAAAATAATGATGGGTCCTCTGTAGACAGTGCTACCAAGATGTGTTCTCTACCATATGACCAGGAATGTGACTCAGTAGGGCCTACCTGAGAGGAGATAAGGAAAGAAAGGGCTGCTGAATTCTCAATTCAGAGGTAAGTTTGTCCTAAAGCTGAAATTAAACAGCAAAGAAGCTTGAGGCAGAGAACTCAGAACAGCGGCACATACCTGCTCAGACTCCTCATCACTGATGTTGGTCCGGCCCAGCATAGTAGCCTTCACTGTGGACAGTATTTTGAGCTGGGTGCTTATAGTTGGGATTCGCTCACAGACCTAAAGAGAAAGTTTCATTTGATGTTTGTTGGGTCTCTTGCCCACAGTTCCTTGGAGGCAGACATACCCAACTCCGTTTCTAGTTTGATGGCATGCAGAAAGTACTGATTTTATCCCTAGCACCAGTCCTGATCAATTGGTTCAAATTCTACTGGATTAGGAAATAAAACTTTGTATCCACATACTGCTCTTGTTGCTGTTGCTTTTTCTTCTTGAATGCCTCTTCCTATTAACCCACTTTCCTCTGCTTTTTCCCTCACATTTTATCATTCATGCTTCCCACTTAGGTACTGTCTCTCTTGTTCGTTCCCTCCCCATTCTCATTGTCTTCTCTCTCTCTCCTCTCATCCCTTCCCCACCTCACCCTCCACATACACACACTCACACACAGCATATTTTTCCAATTACCTGTAAGAGATTGGTTCTAATCCGCTTATCTGTGCACTGCTTGGCAACCTCCTTGGCCAACCTTGTCACCTCATCAGAGGCCTTGGCAATATCCTTGGCACATTGAATAAGTGCCCGCTTGGTACCACTGCCCCCTCTTACCAGCCGAGACATCTCCGCCATCAGCAGAGCCATGCGCTTGGCTGCTGCAATGATGTCATTGCCCTAGAGAGAAGCAAAGATACAGCATGAGCTCTGCCCACACACTAGCCAAGTTAAGAAAAGTAGAAAAACAGGAGGAAGCCTGCTGCTCTAGCAGCCCTCTGGAAGGCTAGGAAAGGGGGAGAGTACTGTTTGGGGTAATAGACAGCACTGGGGAAACAGAAGAGAGACAGGACATTTGTCCCAGCACTCTGAGAGAGAATATCCTGAATGAAAACAAGACCCAGATATTAGTCTGAAAGGGCGACGTGGGTGCCCCAGGCACAGCACTGGACAAGCACTTGAGCATCTCCAGGTTAATTGTGTCAATAACATAGGGCCAGAGCCAAGGAGCTGCTCACACAGGCATTTTCACATCTCTAACGGGAGAAAGCAGGGGAGGCAGCCAGAGTGGGAGAACACAGAGGAGGCTTTCCAGATGCTGAAAGCATCCTCTTCATCTTTGCTCATATAAACAGCAGTCACGTACTTGTGCAACGTCACTGGAACTTAAAACCCCAGGTAATGATTCTCAACCTAAGTGAGAAACACAAGAGAACTGGATATTTTCTCACCTAGACTACTTTGCCCTCTACTGCCTCTTGACCGGCTCAGCCTGAAAGAGCATGCTAATTTAATCATTCCACATTTTAAAAGGTTGCAAACCAATTGTTCTGTCCCATCAGCTACATGAAGCCTCCATCCAATTAAGGAATGTTCACCTAGGAGGATGCCGAGGGAGGAATCAAATACATAAACCTGAGTCAGGCTGTAATGGAACCTCCTCTCTCATTAATAATGGCAGTTCATCTGAGATCTAGCATTTGGTTCACTTAAAACTCTTGTGGATTATGAATAAGGAAATATTTAAGCAAATTATATCCTTAACAACCTAAAATTATAGCAACTACGGTATTTAAAACTACCTGAATGGCCAGACCCCACTCATTTTCCCCTCATGCTTTTCAACTTTTATACAATGCAGTGAGGCACACACAAACCATGCCACTCGGGGTACTCTTGCAAGAGCTCCACGGGCTCCATGAACTGGCTCATCATTAGTGCTTTGAAGGTACATAATGTCTCAGGAAATAAACAGGCCAGAGAACACAGGTTTGGGAGGAAGTCATGAGGAGAGGCATATGTTAGATGAAGCCCTCTGGGCAAACTTCCAGTGCAGACCTGAGGTAATTTAGGATTCCATGACATTGGTTAGAAGACAGCACAGTGCCAAAGTTAGTTAGTACCCACCATCTTCCCACTCTTTCTTGCAACATGCCATCTTCAAAGAGAAAAAAAAAAGGTGATCACCTCTACACCTCAACTCTCCAAATGAACCCAAGGCTCTATACCTAGCTGATGGCCTTAAGCTTTCCCTGTGGCCACTTCCAATGCCTCTTAGACACCTGAAAAAGCAGTCAGTGAAACCCCTTCCCTGTGGGCTCCCATGAGGGCCAGCATCTGTCACACAGCCAGGTGCAGGGCAGCTAGCAGTCCTCCTGACGCTGCCAAATAAAGCTGCTGCTTATCCTGATCAACTCTGCTGAGCCATCAGTGAGAGGTCAGTGGGAGCCAAGCAAAGCTCAGTGGTCAAGCTGGGGGAACTTTTAGTGGTCCCCAATGGCTCCTGACCTAGAAGTCACCAAGAGATGCATCTACAGCTTACCAAGGAGTTTATAGCTCCAATAATGGCCACAAAAAAAATGGGAAGAAAATGAATTCTTTGAAAAGTGACCGCATTTCTCTCTATTCCACAAATATAAATGCAGGTCAGTTGGGCATTAGCAAACCTATCCAACTTGTGAAGCCAGTCCTAACAACAAGGTGCAGACAGACAGTTGCCCGCCCGGCTCAGACTCACAGGACCCGCACAGATAATGAGTGATGCAAGGTGTCAAGGCTGCACGGCCGGATGCATTTGGAGCAGCCCCAGCTGGGGCACCGATCAGTACCTTACTAGACCACTTGGTAGCTTCCCGGTGCAAGGACTGAGCCGCGGCCAGAATGGGCTGGTTGACCGGCTGATTAGATGGCATTAACAGCAGCTCAGGTTCGTAATCGTCTTCCATGTCAGAGGGGAAAGGGAACCCAACAGCATCAGCCGCATCTGCCTCAGCTACAACTCCTATACCCACCTGAGCGGCTGGGATACCCGGCTTTGTCGATGGTGGGAAGGGTGAGAAACAGGGATAGTGTTAGTAAGAACAACAGGACTCAGGAAATGGAGCTTCAGCTGGTTTAGTTACCAAAGCTTGCCTGGGATGGGAAAGAAAATGGCATGGTCTCCAGGAGCCATGGGAACCAAGATTCAAAGACAGGAACTCAGAAGTCTCCTTGAGATAAGTGGAGAAATTTGCTCCAGCAAAAGGTTTCCACAGAGGGCAGGTGCTATACACTTGCTGCTGAAGTTAAACTTGACCAGAACCACATGTTTGGGGAGCCAAACAACCCAGTAGCCATTACCTTTAAAAAGAATGTAGAGGAGAAAAGTAAACAGTCATGTAAGCTATTTGAAGGAAAAACTGAGCGTCCTCCTAACTCAGATACAATTCCATCATCCAAGAACACAGCTCTGCAGCTAGCAGACTCATTATTTCCTTCAGGGATTAGAAGTTCTAGATTAGAAATGGCATGTCAAAGGTAACAGGTAGCAAACCAGGAGACAGAAATGAAGAGTTTACCAAATACCCTATAACCACTCAGCTAGCACTAATGGCCCCCGAGAAGACACTCATCAAGTTCCTATAGCAGTGAAAACCCTACATCTCAGACTGTCTTCCTCCTTAAAAATGTCTTCAGGGACAAAGCTTCCACAGTATCTTACCGCAGCAACTGAAAGTGCCACCTTGTGGGTACAGCCTAAGTCTCTCCATTGTTGAAAACAGCTTCTCACCCCAAACTCAGCTTACTAGTACACAGATCAGGTAACACGTGGACTTGGCAACCAAATGAGGCTAAGCTCAGAGGAGCCTCGTATGAACCCAAGTGGTTGCTTATGAATTAACAGGAACCAAGGAAAGAGAGTTTTATACCAAAGACGGGAATTCTAAGGAGCTGGGAAGATAGAAGAGATGCTAAAAACAAGCTGGCGTGGAAAGAAAAAGGAACTGCTCTAATGAAGTCGAGCCATTTATAAAAGACTGGTGAAGAAAGGTTGTTTACACCAAGAATCTGTGACCAGGAGGAAATGAGTGTTTATATGGAATTTTATTTAAGGTTCCTAAAAGTCTTATCCTAACAGTACTCCAGAGGCAGAGGCAAGAAGTCCACGCTGGAGAGCAGTGAGTCATGAGACAGTCTCGAGAAACAGGAAAACTTAACAATAGAAATTCTGGGGGTTAGAAAGCTCAGTGGTTAAGAGCATGAACTACTCTTCTCCAGGACCTGGATTCAGTTTCCAGCACGCCCATGGTGGTTCATAACCATCTCTAACTCCAATTCCAGGGGATTTGATACCTTCTGGCTTCCATGGGCATTGCACACATGTGGTGCACAGAAATACATGCAGGCAAAACACTCATAAAGTAAAATCTCGAAAAGCAAAATAAAAATCTCAACAACAACAAAAATAAAAAGGTTTATCCTAAACACAAGCCTACCTCAAAAAAAAAAAAAAAAAAAAGCCCATTGGCACTCAACAAAGTATCAATGACGTTGGAAGACACAGGGCCAACAAGGGGTGAGGTAACCACCAATCCTTTCACCTAAACTGTCTCAACCAAGGCTCCTCCCCATTCCTTAAAGGAAAGACCAGCTGACTCCTGCTAAGGTTCAGAGTAACAAGCTGCACAAAGTCAGAACAGAGACAAACATATACGTATACGTATACATATACACCTTCCCAACCTATATAGTTCATATAGTTCCTAGCTTTATACAACTCAAAAGTCAGTGAACTCATGAAATCAGACCTTCTGGCCAGGACTTGTGAACACACTGAGCATAGTGGGGCAAATATATGGGCCAGTGCTGTCTGACATTCTATTCCACATATATTTTCACAATATGTTCAGGCTTATTATAATTACCTTTACATTTTCTTTGGGGTAAATCAATCCTATTGTCACCCATTCTCCATTCACAGTAGATTGTGCTACATGATCCTGGGAGTGTTGGAGAGAAACCATTATAAAGAATTCCACTGGTCAGATCCAGCACCAGCAAGGTTGCCACTCCTAGAAACCCAGGCTCCCAGGTAACACTTGTAAACACTGGCAGTGGTGGCACTTTCCTTTAATCCCAGCACTCAGGAAAAGAGGCAGGCAGAACTCTTGAGTTCCAGGCCAGCCTAGTGTACAGATTGAGTTCTAGGATAGCCAGAGCTACACAGAGAAACCATGTCTTGAAAAAAACAAAACAACAAACAAACAAAAACAAAACAGAAAGAACAAACCAAGGTCAATTTCTCAGCCTGAAGACAAAAACCAACAACAACACAAGATTAACTGCAGGCAGCTCTCTGAGAAGTATATTCAGTTAAGGATGTAAAAGTGAAAGAATAGAGTGGGAATGAAGAGCTAGAGTTCTGACGCAGTACCAGCAGTCTAGAGCTAAGAACCACATCCTCACTGGCAGATGAGCACTAAGCAAGAAAAGCAACTACTTGTTTCCAGTGCTGGGAAACAGGTGGGATATAGACATGAAGTGGGACTGGATTACACCCAGATCTCGGCCACAGGAATAGTTAAACTTTTAAATTAGTGGAGATGAACATAACCTGGAGCTGTCCTAAGTAGAGAAGGTTGATTCTGAGAATCACAAGATGATTCTGAGATAGGACAAAGCACACTGCTTCTGAGCCGCCAATGCAAGCATTAGAGGAACTGCACACATTTTATCTCACAAAACCCACAAAAGATATTTTCACAATTGAAGTTTATCCAATAAAGATAAACAGTTTCTAAAAAGACCCCAGATGTCAGGAGTCAGTACAGCTGACTCCTCTACTGGACAGAGGGAAGAAACTCTCTTCTTTAGCCACAGACATCCCAGCTTTCACTTTTGCCCAAGGAAAGGCAAGCCATCAAACACTAGAGACTTCTCACTAATCACTAGTAAAAAGAACACACTGCCTGAAACGAGAGAACTGAGCGAGAGGGCAGGTGGTCACACAGACTTCTCCCTGAGATGTCTCCATCCTTTCTGAAGGGCACGCATCCCCACAAGAACAGTCTCGGGCTCACCTTGCTAGACCATTTCCGAGCTTCATCGTGGAGCTGCCTGGCGGCCATCATCATTGGCTGGTTAATCACCTCCCCAGCTTTCTGCTCAGGGAACTCTTCATCCTTCTCTTCTGGTGGTGGGGGCCTGGGTGGAGGGACTTCACCCTCAGGCAGAGGTGGTTTAGGAGGAGCCAGCTCATCAGTTAGCTACAATTGTAAATAAAGCAGATTGTAAGTAAACCCTGGGAGCTACCACTAGAAAACAATCTAAAAAATCTGCCCACATTAACACCATGTAAGACTACCCACACATGCCCATGAGGGAATCTGCGCAATATCAATAAAAACATTTTTCTTCTCTTTCTATAAGAACCCAGCAGCTAAGTGTTGGTCATTATCCCACGGGAGGCATACATAGCATTACCAGAGCAACAATTCCCAAAGCCATCCCCACAGAAGATGTAAGACCTGGTTCTGGTTCTGGTTGTCCAAGGGCAGATGAGAGTCAGTAACTTCCCACTAGAACCTCACGTTCTACATCTGCTATGTGATCTCAATGTCCCTAATTCTAAATGTCATGACTCAAAGAAGCCACCTAACAGAAATCTCATCATCAAGAGCCTCAATGGAAAGTGTAAACAAATGTTGAAGACTGGGGAACCACCTATCCTCCTTACGTATAGAGACCCAATTTAGTCATTAACCAACCTGACTTCTTTTACTGACATTAAATAAGAAAACATACCAAAGGAAGTAAGTAGAATTATTGTCTTGATATGCTACTCTTCAAACCAACATTTTTCTAAACTACTACTTGGAGTACATATCCGTATACAAGATCATTACTGTTTTTGTTTCTAGGATTTGTAACTAAAAGATACTCCTCAACTAGCTTATTCTTTAATCATGGGGAAATATATTCATGGTACTTGATGGGAAAGAATTACAAAAAGATTTGAGGGCTTGGGAGATGGCTCAGCAGTTAAGAGCACTTGTTGCTCCACCAGAAAATATGGGTTCAAATTCCCAGCACCCACACGGCTGCTCATAACTATCTAGAACTCTGGTTGCAGGGGATCTAACACCCCCTTCTGGGTTCTGAGGGCACTAGGCATTCGAGCAGTGCAGAACAACCATACACATAAAAAACTGTTTTAAAGATTTGAAATTAGAATCTAATTTTAAAACACAGAAACATTCCATGGTCTCAGGAGATGACAGTAGAGTACTTGCCATGCAAGCATGAAGACCCTAGTTTGGTCTCAAGTACCCAAGTAAAACATTCAACATGGGCCAGCAATGGTGGTGAACGCCTTTAATCCCAGCACTCAGGAGGTAGAGGCAGGTGGATCTCTGTGAGTTCAAGGCCAGCCTGATCTACATAGTTAAGTTCCAGAACAATCAGGGCTATGTAGAGAAACCCTGACTCAAAAATCAAAAGAAAACAAAACAGCAGCTCAGCATGGCAGTATGGGCTTATAATCTCAGCATTGGGGATGCAGAGACAAGAGAATCTCCTGGGCTCACTGGCCAGCTAACCTAGCCAAAATGGTAAGCCCTGCATCCCAGTGAGACATCCTGGCTCCAAAACTAATGTGGATGGCTCCTCAGGGACAAAGTTGACCACCTCTGTTTTCCACAAGAAAATGTACCTGTGCACATATGCACACACACACACACACACATTTTAATAATTTTTAAGAGGAAATATTACTTTTGTTACTAAAAGAGAGAAAGGCAAGACCCTAATAAGGTTCTAATTCTGCAGTTTTCCCCTTAGCAAGTCTCACCACGCATGTACAAACTATTTTACTACAAGTCACATCTCATCAATTCATCATCCCAACTGCACTTACCTCTCCTCCATTCTCAGCCTGTCTGTCACACAGGCTAATTCCATGTAAGTACACGCACAAGTGCTGGCCTATGATTCCACTCAACTTAGGAATGAAAATCAAGACCTGCCTCTAATTAATCACATAAAAGCTACAGAAGCCACCTGGAAATGAAGACTTTAAGAGCAGACCTGCCTCCCACACAGGCTGCCCCTTGCTGCTCAATTCTTCCCATCTCTCTGCATTTACTTACTCGTAGCTGTTCAAGGTCTGGTGGAGGAGGCGGGAAGTCAGGCTCCTGAGGTTGGAAGGCTTCTCTGACCTTGGCCACAGCTCCCAGGATCCGATATCCTGAGTCCAGGAAGCTCTTTTGCAGGCCTAAACACAAGACACTCATTTTCAGATGGGTAGGTCAGTGCCCAGAGCACTGCCTGTCCAGCAGAAGAACTGGTTCCCACTAACAAGGCTGGATGTGGAGCTGCCAGGGGAATCATGGGCACAGGGAAGGGAAGGAGGACAAGTCAGAGGCCCTGAGGAAGTGTCAGAGGTCAGCTGCTCCTACAGTGGTGAGGATGCCTTCCAACTATACACGTAACGAGTTCTTGGAGAATGCTGGGTGTGAATACTAGGGTTGGGCAGCACCCATCACTTCTCTTATGATGAAGCGGTCAAGAGATAGGTCTCCAGAGTGGGAGATGGCAGTTTCAGATTAGGTTCCTAACTCCCCAGTGTCCATCTCACATTTCTCTCTTCGTCTGTGCTCTAGTTGGCGTTCATCGTGTTAACCCTTATCTTGAAGTGCTAAACTATGAGAAACTCCAATTAGGAGACAAAATACATCCACAGAGATGGAGAACTGGGAATTTGAGAAAGAGGCTGCAGAGGCCAGAAATTAGTCAGGCAGCCTAGATTCTCGCTGATGAGATGGGAAATGTTGGTTTCCAAAGAGAAAGGAATATACATGATTTGCAACTCATCAAGTGCTGCAGTTATTAACTCCTTTAGTGGTACTGAAACACTGATCAAAATATAGCTGGAGAAAATTCAAATTCCCTCATGTAGGGCCTAAGAGACCAAAGTTACTTGAACTCTCCAGATTTGACAAAAACAAAAATTCTCTACAGAGAAAGGTCATTATATGCAAGAAGAGTAAAAGAAAAGACATGCCAACTTCATGAGCTAAATGGTTGGTGGATAATTAGCATTTATTTTAAAGTTTCCAAAATTATGACTATCAATAGGGATAGCAAGCCAGATAACATTAGGAAAGGGTAAAGAACCTGATCCAGAGATGGACAGGCCTGACAATACTGCAAAAAAGTTGAACGGAAGAAAAGCTAAATGTCTACTGTCCCCCCTTGGGTTTTTTGAGACATTCTGTAAATCATTCTGTAACTCTGTCCTGACTGGCCTCAAACTGACAGTTATCCTTCTGCCTCAGCCTTCTGGGTGTGGAAATTACAGGAAAGAGCACCAAACCAGGCAGTGTCCATACGTTGCCTCCCAGATTTTATATATGGTGGTCATGGATAACTACTCTTTCCCCATCTCCACCGAGTTAGCCTAGCAATTAGAATGAAAGACAGAGTGCACTGTTGCTTACCAGGGTCAGAGATGTTTCCAGCCACAGCCTTGGCATCCATCACCATGGGGGAGATTGTTTTGCTCAGTTCATCAGAGGCAGCTTTCACAGCCTCTCGGAACTTTGGGTCCTCAGAGTTCTCTACCTCCCTCTTAGCAACCAGCAGAATCCGGTTGGCCCGGCGGGCAATACTGGTTGCTCCAGCGACCAGCATCTGAGGCTGAATATTGGCCATGGCTACCTTACACTTGTCCAGGTCTTTTTTAATTGCTTCTTCAGAAGCATCCAACAGAGATTTGGTATCAATAGCCTCGTCCACCAGCCCTGTCAGAACAGAAATGGGACTGAATTTGCTTTTAGAAGAACAAAGATTTGAAAACACTGTTGTCTGTTTGAATCTCATGAGAAAGTATAACACTCAGAATTCTCTTTTCGGTTCAAAGCTCTTCCTACAAAATTGCAAGCTTTCAAATGAACAAAGTAGCTTTAAAAAACTGAAATGTAAACAGCCCAACCCAGAAGGTCATTTGGTCTCAGGATTTATACTGACCGTGGTCACTGGTCCTCTTAAATCCACCACAGACAACCAGACACACAAAGACATCAGGAGGAACCGGACCGAGTCTGAAACCTCACCGTATAGCCAGCTCAGTATCTGCTAATAACATCCTCTCCCTTCCCGGCTCACTCTCCACCACCTGTTGATTGTTGGCAGCTTGAAGTGCCTAAGGCGAGCCACACGGAGGACTCCAGTAACCTTAACAGCCTGCTTCTATTTCATTTCTGTTACCTCGCTTCAGACACTTGGGGAGCTCTGCTTTCATCTCTGGCTGCTATAGATCCGACAACAGCAAAGAGCCTACACTCCTCATGTCTGCCTTTCTGTCCTGCCCCTCTACAGAGAACTCAGAAAACTCAGAGGCGCTTCGGCAGCCGTACAGACACAGGTGTCTCCTTTTTTTTTTTTTTTTGGAACCATGTAGTTGATAAGTTGGAGGAAACTCTGAGACAAGCTGGGTTAAATGGTAGCTATTGTGGTTCCTTGAAATGTGAACCCTCTGAAAATGACAGGGACACTTACTGTATCCGCAAACACCGCCTTCCAGCCTCTGAAACCAAACTCTAGCTGGGACTGAGCAAAGCCACTATTCAAAGAGAAGATAGGAGCTATAACGATGACCATCACACCGGAGGGCGGGTCTAAAATAAAAGAAGCTCAAACAGCCTCTCGTCCAACAAAGTAGCAAAGCTTGAATGAGAAGCCGCCACCGCTCAGCAGCCTAATCAGGGCCCAGCATGCTGCCGAGCCCCTGACTGTCCCTCTATCCAATTACAGCTGATATAACCGGTCCTGCTTGAGGTCCTCAGAACTCATGCATCTGACCAAAGGCATTCTACAAAACGATACCTGTCATTTTTTCAACATTATCAATCCACTGGTTCTTCATGGTCTCAAAATGTTCATAAGCAGCTTGATTACCAGGGTTCCTCAGTAAGATTCGAGCAGCTGAGATGACCTGTTAATAACAAAGCAATTTTCATATACCAGGGCACCAGCACATTCCAACTACAAATCCAGAGTAAAGCTTTTCTCCACTGTACCTATAGATGGCACCAGAAAACCACAATTGGCAAACCTCTTCAGGCTAAATGCATTAAGTTTGATGCCATAAACATACCCTAGAGTGGGCCCTTCACACAAAGGTTTAGATAGAGTCACAGCCTAGTCTTAAGAAAAAAATTAAGGTGTCAAAGTAAATGAGCATTCATTTAACATTTCAGAAGAACAACAAAACTGACATATATTTAATAGTTGATATCTTGGTATCAACTTTTCATCTTAAAAAGAACCAAAAAGAAACTAAAAATGTAGTTAGGCAAGGTAATTCAATTCTGTAATTCCCAGCCTGAGGCAAGAAATTTACAAGTTCAAAATCAGCCTAGGCAAAATACTGTGTTTAAAAACTGAATGTGGTGGTATAATTCCCTAAATGTTAGCACTCAGAGGTGAAGCAGGCGGGACTCCAAACTGAAATGGAAGCCTGGATGATCTACATACGAAGACCGGGG